AGCACACAGAAGGTCAGGAGCATCCTACTGCAGTTTCTTACCCAGAGCAGACCACCAGTCACTTGCATTCAGGTTCTGCAATCATACTTGCTGTGCTCCCTTCTCACTTCTGCAAGGTTTGCCCCCAAAACTGTTCTCTTATGGAAGTATTTTTCATTAAAAAATAAAAACCTTTAGTCTACACTCTACACTGTCTTCACGTGGTATCAGCTTGTTCTTTTTAACATCTCTTCTTTACCAAGTATTCTATTAAGAAGTAAACAGCAAGAAGCAAGTCTTGTCCAGCTGCAGATTAAGAACAATTCCCAACAAAAGCACACACACTTACATGAGAAAACAGACCCTGAAGAAAGAAGGCCTATTCCTAGCTATGCACCCAGCAGAGGTGGCCCAGGGGTGGTCCATAGGACCCAATTAAAAACGTACCAGGGTGCATAACCTGACATCAAGATTGAACATGAACAGATGCATTTCTATGCAGCAGTACCTTCCCTTAAAGCTTTGACAAATGGTTTATTTGCTCAGCACAAAGGGATACAGCTGAATAACAGCCCCAATCACCTCTCATAGGACAGACAGCAGACATGCAGGCAAGAAAAGAGACCTACTAAAAGCAGCTCCCAGATACCTTCTCAGCTTCAAAGAGGTTTCAAAAGTCAACCGTTCTAATTTTCAAGATAGATTCTTTTATCCAGATAAGCCACAGATTTCATTCAGAGGAAGCTGACCTGAACATAAAATATTTGGAAGCTGCCTTCAGTTTTCATCTCAATAGCCCCCACACTGTGGGCCTCAGGGAGAAACAGGGCTACTTCTAAACAGATAGGAGAGGTTTCATCTCAGGCAGTGCTATGATTTCCCTGCTCTGGAAACCTAAAAATGAGTCTCAAACCTGAAACAGCCTCCCCTTATTCTTCAATTATTCGAAATACAGTTCTTTTCAATAGCCAGGTCTAAAAAACACTTTCATCCATGTACATGCTTTACTTGTTTATCTCTTCCTTTCCAAGATGTGAAAAAGCTGAAGACGTCAAGAAAAGCCAACACATCTCAACCGTGCCGTTCCATGAAATGCATTGCAAGTCAACAATTGTTTCTTCCTAAAAAGGAAATGAGGAACAAAACCAACACGAGACCACCACATTTCCCACCCTCATTCCTTTTCGTATTGCTTCTCAACTTCAATTCAGATCAGTGTGCACAAATACACTAAGCAGAAGCTTTACTGATCAACTGTATGAGAAGCTGAACATCTGTAAGACAACAACCTGATTAGTAATTTTCTTGTTCACACTTTTTGCAGCTATGACCCTTAACAGAGTCTTTGAGACATCTAAATTGGCACAAGCTAGCTTTAAGCTGAAAGACTCAAAATAAACATTATGCTTCAGTGAAAGTAAACCTAAGCACTGCCTACACCTAATTAGAAGCCAGTTAAGAGCTTGAGCGATGGCAGAAGCCAGGCCCAATGAGTTTTAACATTACAATACAGGAGAGGCAGCCTACACTTGACAAAACAGTTTCCAGACATGCAAGGTCTGAAGCAAGGAAGAGCGTGAGTAGCTAACCCATCATTCCAACTCAGACCTAAAGCTCTGATGCTTTCTTCATTTTCCCCCTTTATCGAGGTGCAGCCCAGTGAGATAAAACAGATACGAGCTATGATCCAAGTGTCAAGAACAATTCCCCCTAAGCAAAGCTGTTAAGTTTCTAACCTGACATGTTTCAACTAGGATTTCAGTGCACTAACAAGCTCAGCTTTGAGAAAAAGAACAAATAAGGGTTATTGAAAGAGACACATTTGTTAATTTATCCAAGGGGAGCACAAGTTCACTGCCACCCATTGCTTTGCCTCTCTGCTGACTTTTCCTTCCTAGAACTGGAAAAAGAAGCATGGATGAGAGGAAATGATTCACGTAAGCAGCTGGAAAGGCAAGACAGTAGGAGATTTCCTAAATGAATACAATTTACTGCAGGAACTACAGTCACGTTTGCCATTTCAAAGCTATTCCAGTGTTTCTAGGTCCTTAAACTTCCATTAGGATCACTGCTTTAATTGCGTTGCAGAGCTACAGCACGGAACCCCACAAGTCAGATGAAGATCAGACGGCTGCAGAGTCCCACAAACACTGGATAAATACTTCCAGGGTTTGGTGATGAGCTGGAAACCTTCTGACCTCCCAGAGCTCTTCGTCCTTGGTGATCTCAGGAGACCTACAGTTAATTAAACAATTAAAACACGAAAGCCTCATCCACAAGGCTACAGTTCGTTACACTGCAGCACAGTTGTGAGCAGTCCTTCAAACGAGCTGGGGAGGGTCAACTGCATTCCCAGAAGCATAGTTGTAGGACTATACATAACCAGGCAGTTGCTTAGATTCTAAGTTCACCTAAAAACTGATCCTGAAAGCCAACCACACAAGTGTGCTGTTAGGAGACTGCCCAATTTAATGTGCATTTCAAACACTATATCAAGGCTGCTACAATAGGCAAGGCCAATAAGCACTGCTGCATGGATTTCAGACATTATTAGTCATGCAGCCCTACAAAACGATACAGCAATTCAAGCATATGCAATGGCAGACTGCAAATGTCTTAACTAATAACCAAGATCTGCCACTAAGCCAACCAGAACCCAGAATGTTCATTTTCAGAAAGGAAGCAAACAAGAAACATTTCGCCATTTCACTTTGAAGGATGCGAATAACGGTTTGTTTCCTCCTCCAGATTTCACACACAGTGCCCCAAATGCTCTTCACACGGCCCAAGGCCTCACTTTTCCAGCAAACAAACAAACAAACCATCACCACCCTTTGGCAGCCCATCACCAAGACAGCCTGCAACCTGGATAATAGGGATTAAGGCAGCTATCAGCTTGGGGTGGTTTTCCTCATCAAGGAGGGAGGATTCCAGCACCATTTGGGTGGGTTGGTTTTTTTTTTTTCCTACTTGAAGAAATACAGTTCTTTCACAACTGAAATATGTATATATAGCAGATACCCAGACAGCTCAACCATGTCTTCCCTTACTGATCAAGGGCTGAAAAAGACAACTGCAGGAACAGGATGTCTCGTATCAAGAGACGTCAGCTGCAGAACATCACATCAGCGTGTGCTGCAACAGAGCAAAACTCAGAGCTGCAGCAGTGACTTTCAAAGCTCCAGTCTGTTTATCCTCGGCTGATGGCATCCAGAAGAGACAGCAGAAGCCATCACACAAAGTATTCAGTGGGAAATTTATGGAAAGGAAGCAAGAGTGGCCACAGTGCCATTGCTGGTGGTCACCCAGATCAACATGATATTTCAGAGCAGGAAGCCTCATCTTTCATCCAGCACCTCATGAAACCCAGAAAAGCTCAGCTACTCCAAGGTGAAGCTGCACCCCACAGGAGCTGCCCCCAAAGGTCCAGCTGTCTGGTGGGGTCAGTGTTTCCCACCCAGATTTTCCCAGCAGAAAAGGAAGCTCTTTGACATTTGCCAACAACAGAACTCCACCACTCAAATTCGAACAAAAAAAAAAAAAAAACCTGCTTCAATGTACACTATTTGACTAAGCACTCATTTCTTGTTTCAAGACATCCAGCAGTGATTTTCCCCTCCTCCTGACTTGTTATTCCCCCCCCCTCTGCTTTAAACTAGATTCTCACAAGGCAAAGTTTTACTGGACAAAAAAAAAAAAAAGTTTTAAAAGATTTCCCAACATCATTGTTTAAATCAACTTTAGACGGTTTTATACAACACTTTATAGACTTGGAGAGGGAGACGTCCTCCTGACAGTGTGTCAGCTATCCAAACAACTGAGGCATGGGAAAATCGTGCAAGAGTGTGAGTTGGGGAAGGTCTTTGGTGAGCAGCGACAGCCCTCGCTCATGTAAGCGTGGTAGCTCCGAACAAAGATCTGCAGGCTAATAGATATGTAAGACAAATGACATGTGGTTCTCATTGCAGCTCATGCTCAGGGAAGGGGGTACCTTGGAACAGATCCAGCTGGGATAGGTTTATCCCATTACTCTCCTATAATTTTCTGCCGTTTCAAACCCTTTGACAGTTACTGTAGTTTTAACATCACACCCCCTACAGACTGAGGCCTGTTTGACAGGCCAGCAAACAAAACCACCCCCACTTGGAGAAGAAATATGCACCATATGTGAGAACCCCGCGAGGCGCGAGGCCAGTGCCCGTTCTTGCACTCGTGACACACGGATGCAAATCGCAGTGCTGAGCCCAAATGGCCAGCGCTGAGCTCAGCCCCCCCCACACCGCAGCACAGCCTCGTGCACACCAGCTATTAGCAAGGGGAGGAGGAAGGGGGAGAGACAGGATGGACGAGCGCTGAATGTTAAATTCCCAAGTTCCCATTTAAGGGAATTGCAGAAGAAAAAAAAAAAAAAATAGTGAAATTTAAGAACAACTGGAATCAGGTTAAGCCACTCTCCTGCTTTATACAGTGCGGCTCATTCATCTGAACAGCTGTTTCACCTCTAGAGAAATACCCAGAGAAAACACAGGGGAGGGGGAGAAGCCTAAATTGTTTGCTCTATTGAAGCAGTACTGTTCAGTAAATCAAAACTGATTTATATCAAGTTTATAAGAAGCCGGCTGGGGAGGGAGGGGAGAGGAGTACGAGCTTGGGTTTTAAACGGCTATCCGAAAGCTGCATCTCTTGAGGGGAGATCCGCAATTAAGGTTTCTCCTTTGTTGAGCTGAACGAGACTTCCCCGCAGCCCAGGACTGTAACAGTTCCCTCTGCCGGCATCCCCCGGGTCAGGAGGTTTCGCAGCCGCGGATCGCCGTCCCCTCCCCACGGCAGGGACACGGGGAGGGGCTGCAGGTTTCCGCCGAGGCTCGGCTGCCCCGCGCTGCAGTCGCTCCGTGCCCCGTTCCCGCAGGTAGGCGCCGCGATGGGGCGGGCAGCGCAGCCCAGCGAGGGACGCGGGGAGGGAGGCGGGCAGCCCTCACGGCTCCCGGGCCACCGACGGAGTCGGACCCGCTTTTACTCACCGGCGACTGGCGAAGCCGCTGCCCGGCGAGCCCGAGCTCTGCTCGGGGTAGTTGTGCTGCAGGGTCGATGCCGGGAATTGATAGAGGAAGCCGGTTCCCAGCGCGCATCCGTGCAGGCAGCAGCACCAGGACAAGAAAAGAGCGAAGTGCATTTTTGCACGACGAGGGGTTTTTTGTTCCCCCTCCCCCCCCACCCCTCTTTCTGCTCTCGCTCAGCGGGACCCCGATGTCGCTCCCCGGGCCGCCCCGCTCCGTCAGAGCCCCGGGGCTCTGCTGCTGCCCGCGCGGGGTCCGGGGCTGCTCGGGGCGCACAGGGCGCACTCTCAGCCCCGGATGCCTTTTCAAATTTGGCGAGGTTGGCCCGACTCCGTCAAAGGGGGCGTGGGGCTTCGGCGTTAACCCTTGCCGGGCCTCGCCGCAGACCCCGCCGCAGACCCTGCAGGGTGCCCCGGCTCGGCCCGCGGGCAGCTGTGAGAGCGAGCCGGCAGCACCGGCTCCGGTCCCAAACCCAAAACGTTGCCAGTGGAGATCACAAAGCCCTGTGCTTCCCCGATTTACCGAGAGCCGCTTCTTGGAGAACCCACCGGACCCCAAGGCAGCCAAGCTGGTGCCTGCTGCTGTGTTTGAGAGACAGCATTTACGCAGGTAAAGTAGGAAATAAATACATCGAGATACCTCGTTCACAAGGCAGCCCCAGCGCAAAGCTAATCCCTGCTTCTGTATGGGCATCCTGCACCCTCTTAGACAGCACCTCAGGTAGACCCCCACCTTGCCAAGCACTCAGATAGCACAGAGCTTGGGAAACTGCTCATTTGGCTCCTGACACACTTCTGAAGTTCAGAAAGGATGTGGGTGCCTCACAAAGGCAGCATCCCCAGGTGAGAGCTGGCAGGAGCTCTCTCCCTTCTTTGTGCATCAGCTGAGTTTTAGTTCAGTACCCCTGAACAGCCCCATGTCTGATGATGGTGTCACACATCACAGCAGCTGGTCCTTCAGAGCACCCACAGCAAGCAGCTCCGCAGGAACCAGGGCTCTTTGTGCCCACTGACTGCACTGCCAGCTCATCTGAGCCTAATGCCACAAGGAGGGATTTCATTTCCAAGAGCACACAGCTGTGTTTCTAAGGCTTCTCCCTTCAGATTCTGCAAGTTCACAGTATGCACCCTGCACCTCGACTGTGCAGCATCCACCAGCAGTCTTGATTCACCACTGAAAGCAGATCTTGCTGGGTGTCTTTGGGGCGCCCCTATGGGGCTCAGTAAAGGCAGAGACTTCTTTCCACCAAAGGGGAAGCACAATCCCTGTGAGATGCCATAGCTGCAAAGTGACTCCAGCAAGATATTAAGAAAATAGCTGGGTCTGTCTCCCTAGGTGAACATCTGCCCCTTTCCCTACATTGCCCACCTCCACAGCCCGTACAAAGATAAACAGCTCCTGGCTAGAGCCTGTAACCAGACAAGTTTAGACTGCAAATAAGGCACCAGGTTTTAAACAACCACTCTCATCAATCACTGGAGCAAATCACACAAGAAGGAAAGGGTAAAGTCTGCAAGGCAGCTCAGCACGGCCTCCCTAGGCTTACTCCACAGCTGCCCTCAGAGCACCCCAGAACACAGGCTGGTGCAGGTGATGGATCAGCACCCTCCAGGCTCAAAGGGAGGTCAGTGAGTCTGGTACAGCAGTGCTGAGTTGCCAGACTCGTTCAGAAGCAACCACTGCTCGCCTATAAAAATCCTCCAGTGCTGAGGGCTGAGAGGTAGGATGGCCTTCTATCCCCAGTCCTGCCTCACATCTGCCACAGAACCTTCCCCCATTTTGATTCCTCTCAGGGAGAGAAACTTCTCCCTTCCACTCCATAAAAAAAGAAACCAAACCACACAACTCACCCAAGAGCGCTCAGCCACTCCAAGCCATTCCCTCAGCACAAGCTCTCAAGAACCCTTTGCTCAGCTTAGCAGGGCAATTAAAAAAAGAACCTTACTTTCCAATCTGTTCTCTCCGTAGGGCAGCAAACTGCCCCGAGGGTGCTTCTCCTGAAAACACACCCAGAAACTGCTGCACTTCCAGAACACTCCACAAGACTGCGAGTCTCCACTGTACTTTAATCAGGGTGATCATCTTCAGCTGTGAGTGATCATTCTCAGCTGCATGTGCACAGCCAGCCCGGGCACAGCTGTGCCAGGCTGCCACTCCAGCAAGCTCTGCAGCTACAGGCTTTTTGCTGAAAGCACATCTAGTTTCTCATCCTGACAGGCTGGGATCAATAATTTTTCAGTATTTAACTGTACTAAATAGCACCAGCGTCTTTGTGATCCATTCTCCTGGCTTGAGTTAGCTCCTTTGAAAGCTGTGAGCCATCTTCAATTCTGAACTGTCCAAGAAGGTTGCATATTTGGTTGCATGCAAAGTTCAGCACCTCAGCCTTCACCAATTTTGCAAGACCATAAGAGGAGATGCTAAGCACAGGTGATCAGATAAGACGTGAGTTTGGCAAATCATTAGAGACACCTGTAGGAAGCTAGTTCTATTCCTATTTCATGAACTGAGAGGCTGGAGGACAAAGGTTAAATGACTTTGCTGAAGTTGGTAAAGAGCAAAAGGTAGAGCTAGAAATAGAGCTCAGATCTCTAGGTTTCCATTACTCCTGCTCTGTCCCTAGAGCATATTTGCTTCTATTCTGCATGACTGACTTAAAATGAAAATGAAGAATTAATTTCCAAGCTGTTTTTGGAAGGAGAGAAGAAAGGGTGATGTTGTCTGCTGCAAGGGGAGAATTAAATATGACATTTCATTTTTGGTCCTTTGGATATGCGTAATATAATCAAACACAATAGCGGTAATAAATGGATATTTTTTCTCCCTATGGTGCTTATGAGTGCAACATATTCTAACAATTTCTCAAAACTCTGTTGATAAATTGGAAATGCAGTGATGGAGGTAACGAAGACAGCCAACAAAAACATAATTCCTTCAATTTATCACAGGGACTGGTTTTGAGAAGAGAACACTTGAAATATGAACAGCCCAATTCACACAAACCAGACGTGCTATATTTCAAAAGATAAAGCTACACATTTGATGCCTGTGCATAAGTATTTTAATTAAAGACTTGTCTGGACAATCAGGCTATATAAATTATCTGGAGGTATTTCACAACTCAGTTCAAGATAGAAGAGGCAGGGATGAATACTGGAAAGCCACAAAGCACGCAAGCATTGGGAGGAAATAGTACAGAGACAGAGGTCAGGTTTTCAGTTTACCAACTCTATTGGCTTAGCTTTGCTATCATAAAAAAGCAGTCCCAGAGGACCTTCCTCTTGCACACTGCTTGCTTTCTATGCAAGTGATGGCCTTGAGCTGTTATGTCAGCAGACCAATAAATTGGACATGTGTGGGGACATGAGGTTTCACGTGGTTTGGAGCATTTATCAGCTTTCTATGGTCCATTTGGCAAACATTAAAAGTAGCTTGGAAAAAAAAATTAAAACATTGATAAAAATATCTATAATCTCTTTAAACATACAGTGCATGCAAGCAGCCAACAAACGAAGTGGAGACAATAAAAGGAGCGCTCCATGTTCAGTGTGATTTTTGTTCAGCTGAGAAGGGAAAAACAGTGGTGTGACAGAGCAAAAGAGGGATTCATTTTCTGAAAGGTCTTAAGGTGGCTTAGAAAGGTAAAAACTCATTGTCATATCTACAAGAGTAAAGTCCAACCCAGGAGTGTAATGCCAGCTCAACTGGTTCAGCGTCACTCAGCACTACAGAAGTCAGGATTGAGCTGAAAGCAACAGTTAGATTTTTGTTAGCATAAAAATCATGGAAAATTGAAATCCGTATCTCTTGGATTTTGTGAGTGCACTTTTCATGTGGATACCAAGATGAGGCCAAAGCAAAAGCAGCTTTGTTCTATGTAAGGAAACCTCGTGGAACTTTAGTTATGAGATGGAAATGCTCTTTTGAAGTTAGAAAGAAGTCAATGATTAAGACCATATAAACCCCAAAATAATTTGGATGAAACCCTTCCAGTTTCCTAAGGAAGACAGATTGTTTCATTCTGATCCAAGAAAGTAGTCAAGGAACCTTGGAAAAAACAGAAGAGATGGATAAGGCATAGTGACAGTAAGAGTTAAAGATCTCCATTGTAATTTAAGCAGTGATTTTACTAAGCTTATTTTAAGATGGCTGTTACTGGGGAGTCAAACCAAACCTGAACCAAAATGAAAGCTGGAAGGACTGTGTTTATTCAGAAGCTAGAAGGAAGCCAGTGTGGGGTTTTTTTTTCCTGAAGATTTCTTAAATTTGATCTGGAATAAATCAATCAGAGCTGAATTCAAAATGCAGTAGAAGTGGTAAACATAATACCCAGTGGTATTGTGCACAGCACAAGAATTGATCTAGAACTCACGGCTTTGGCAAAACTCATTGAACTTAGAGGAGAACTTTGTTTGAGTGAAGCACTTGTGTGAGCAATATAAAGTAATACACGGGATAAACTAACTCAGATTGAAACATAATTCAGCAGATGGAAAATGCTGTTTGAAAAGATCAATGAGACAATGACTGCATCGAGTGGAAGTACGCCTATTCTGAGCATCACTGTGTTGTGAGAAGAAAAACTTGCACTACTTCTGATGTTAGGCAGAAATTTTCCCAACTGGACGTGCAGTGAAGCTCTGATCTGCAGGTGAGCAGGGAGTTTGACCCTTGATGTATCAGACTCACCAAGAGTGCAGTGAAGCAGGGATTTGAACAGGTGTGATAAAGCCAATGCTAAATATCAGAACTATTGCATTAACACCTGCCAGAGTAGAGACACAAATAGAAGTAGGCAGGAAGGACTGCAGAAGTTAACTAATTGCTCCTTTTCCCTGCTAGAAGGCAGGGTCTGTTATACATAGATGGCTCATGGCACAAATTTATCTGCCTTGTTCTGAAACCTCCCATGGTTTTCTGACAGTGTATACTAATGCTTCTCTCTTTGTACTGGTGGTTTTTCTCAACATCCAACCTCAGTCTGCTTTATTGCAATCTAAGCTTTTTAATGTCCTACTTTCTCCATTAAGGACATAGAAAATGGTTCCATCTCTGACTTTTGATTCCTCAGAGTACTTTTCAAAATGTCTGAACACCTCTCCTTGTCTGGAAGCAA